TCTAACCCCCTCGCTGGTGCGCCTGAAAAAAGATAAGAAGGAGATAGAAGAAGAAGTCGTTTTCTAAGAGCGCAAATCAATATTTATTATAACGAAAGGCAGAGATTGATATCAAGAAGGGAGATAATAATAAAAAAACCAAGACTAAACTTATTATTCCTACTTATTCTCCAGGGGGAAAAAAATCACCAAAAAACAGCCTTTGTTGATTTCTTTTGGTCTGTAGAAATAGCTTCCTCTGATACCCTCACTTAGATTTTCTCTAACACCCTGCTGAGGTTTTGATGTTAGACTTTCATCAAGAATATTGAGCATGAAATCTAAACATTATTTCTGGTGTCTGGTGACAGCTGATGAAGAGATAGAATAAAGGATAAAAGAGGATTTAGACTGGGCCAATCGGCTACCTGTAGGAAGGCAGGAGAACCTAGAGTAATTAGGACATGGTGATGAGAGGCAGGGAGTACAGGGCAGTAGGTGTTTACACCCAGGGTGGGGGAACCATTTGAGGCAAAATAAAAATTGGCTCAAAGGGCAAATGAATCTTTGCTTTATTATTGGTGTTATTTGTACTACAGTAGCAGGTTGAGAGGCTGTGTGGTCTAGTGGAAAGAGAGTCAGGAGACCTGAGTTCTATTCCTGGCTTTGCCATTGACCTGCTGATTGGGACCTTGGAACTTTACCCAGCTTTCTCGAGGCCACACTCATCAGGGATCATGCAAAAGGGGAAGAGGACTGACCACTGTTTGCCTTGGTTTTTCCCACCTTTTACCTCTATGTTTCTACACTGGACTTAGCAGAGTTGGGAGCTGAAGTATATCCAAATGTCAGAAGAGAGCCTTATAAGCAAAGCCTTGTGTAGGCAACAGTTGCATTCTAGTTTCTTCTTTTGGGGAAGATGGAGGAAGTCCATAGTACGGCTTGGGTGATGGAGCTCTGGGTGATGCAACTGAGGGGGTGGATTAAAGGATAGTACAAGATGCTAGTAATTTGCCAATTCCCTGAGCTAGTCACGGGCTGCACCCAAAATCCCTGTTGTTTGCATTAATCACTCTAAGGAGAGGCACTGACTGAACAAGAACAAGGTGCCTGTTTAACAAGATGAACGTTATTGAGAGGAGAAAGACTTGTTATTAATCGATAAGTTAAATCACTGTTCATTAAATCCTCATGATTCTTGTCTTTCTGTAAAAACAAGAATTTGCTGATTCCTCCATGTACAGTATGCCCCTATTCAACTACCATTTTCAGTAAAACACTTGCCATCTCATGTTTCCTGTCTTGCAGTTATTTATTTATCCACATTTAACTTCTCTAGCAGCAATTCTGCAAATGAACAGCATTTCAGCAACAAGAACCTCACAGCTAATCAATGCTGAAATTCAGATACTATTTCTGAGGTAGGTGGAACATCTTGATGTATAGTGGTTTCAAATAATTCAATGAGTTTGACTCAATGTTATGGTGTTGAAGCTCCTTCCATTCTTTCCCTATTTGCTTGGGATTTTATACAGGGTTTCCCCCTTTCAACCCAGCATCTTCCTATTTCACAAATGTACCTGCTGTAACTGCAGTTAACAGCACAGTTTCTTCCTTTGCATATTTCATTCTCATTCAAGGTACTCTTCTGAAATATGTTAAAGCACCAAAGTTTGCTTCTTCAAAGAACTTCAAACCTTTCCCCTTCTTTCAAAGATTAATTATAGTGGCTTATAGCTTCAAATACTTCCAGTTACTTTCTTCGGTTACTGCATCTCTACCTAGTAACTTTTCAAGGATTAGAAATTATTGTGCCTTTTCCCAGGGAATGTCTCAGATCAAATAGATTCTCACTCTGTCAGCTGTAGCAAGTAAAAGCTTTTTAAAGTGTGGTTATATGCTGAAAAAACTGTAGTAAGATGTTACTTGTTGTCTCACAAGGATTTTAGATCATGTGTAGTTTACAATAGATTATTTTTCTAGCTGACAGCCTGGCAATCTCAAAATGGGATCTGAAAGTTAAGATAGGTTTTTTCCTTCGCACACATCAATTACTAGTAACAAAAAAGTTCCCATTTCTGATCTCAGGCACGTCAGTGGAAATCAGGCATAGCTTCACTGAAGTCGGTGGAATTGCACTGGTGTGCAACGGGTGTAAGTGAGGTGAGCATCAGGCCCTATGACTCTGCAATCAGAAGTTAGCTGATGCTTTGATAGCTAATGTGAGAGCTGGGATAGGATTGCAGCTCAGTTTCCCAATGTTATATTGGCTCATCAGGGCTAACCAAAATAAAAGGCAGTAAGTGTTTAAATTTTATTTTAAACAGTCAAGTACCTGCTCCTGGCTCTGGGACACACAAGGAACAGATCTGTTAATCCATTTTTATATGGTCATTTTTCTGACCATCACTTCACTTTAAATGTCACTTGTTGCCCATCCAGAATTTTCCCTCTGGGATGGTTGATAATCCTGTATGTCCATTATCACAGCCAACCTGAATGCCGCTTAGCTACAGGGAAGGGGCTTCAAAAGCCCAACATTCGATAAAAGGCAGTTCCTGTTCCCATCTGTCAAATCATTCCTTTGAGTCCCAAGCGGTTTCACCAATGAGTGGAGTGGATTCAGTAAGGAATTGAGAGGCAGAACCTAGCATTTCTCCTGCCCTCTTCTTCCTACTCTTCTATTTCAAGGTACAGTAACCTCCTAGGATAGGGCCAGGTGCATGGATGTCACCTGTTGGGGCATCAGACAAGCTGAAGGGCTGTGTGTAGTGGTAGGAAGGTCTACTCTGTGCAGTATCTTCAGAGCAGGCAGGATGAGGGAGAAGGAGGTGGAAAAGGTACTAAAGAAGCTGGGCCTTGGGAGTGAGACCTACAGACCCAAGAGGGCCAAGTCTGATACCCTTGGATCTATTTCAGGCCTAAGACAAGGCTGCTGCTTGTCCCCACCTCTTCTTCACCAATGTCTCAAGAAGAAAGGGTGGGGAAGTAGAGTGGAGGGGCACAGACTATGCTAGTTTTCTTCCCACGGTAACTGACATGAGGTCAGGAGAGACCCTCTCAATAACTGTGCTCAGATGAGGAACATTGTCCCAAGGAAAGTGGTGGACACTCCATCCCTTGAGTCAATTAAAACTATGCTAGACGAAGCACTGGAGGGTCCCCTCTAGGGAACTATCCTGGTCTGCCATAGGAGGGAAAAGATGGACTAGATGTCCTAGCGAATTCTTCTCTTTGCTAATTTCTATGGGAGAAATTCTCTGCCACGTCAATGGGCAAAACACCATTGTGTCCATTGACACAATCAGAGAATTTGGCCCTATGGGTCTTGATCTGTAGAGAGCTCGGTGTCATGAGGCTGACGGGTGGAATGTACTACCCACAGGGGTATCTCTAGCTCCCCAGTCCTGCTGTTTGGAAATTGCCTGCAGCAAGTTTAATGATTATCCAATGTGTATTCTCATTTGGAGGCCATTGCCTGATTTGATGACCTTTTCCTTTCAGGGGGGTGAATCCAGAATGTATTGCATTCGCATCACCATCCCAGCCACTGAAAGCAACCTGGAATGAAATACAATTGACTGATATTTGCAGAGATAGCAGGATAACACCGTTGTCTGATGAATTGCTTCTTTCTCTTTTAATTTTAATGATGTTAACACCATATTAAATGAACTTTTCCCAGAAGATGAATTGTGGAGTCAGTTGGCTTTGTTTGCTTTGGTTATTTTGCTAAACATACAATTTGTGCTACCAGGACAGATGCCCTCCTGCTTCCAGGAAGTGATGATGCAATTTATATCATCCCAATGAACTGATTCTCTTATCTACATTATCTGTACAGTATCTAATGAAGTAATGAAATATGCAACAATTCAGCAATAGAAATTAGCACTAATTAGAGATAATTATCTTGGCTGGTTTGATATTTCTATGTAATGAGCCCGAGTTCTCTTTCGTTAAGGGTTTGGTGTGGTCAAATAAATGAAATGACGCATTGAAGATACACAAGTACCTTTTATTCCGGATTTATTTTTACATTTCCAAGAGCTCCACTCTTCTCTTCGATGCCATTTTGTTTGATTACAGACGCTGGCATTTCTGAGAATGGCCATTTTTTATGCAGCCCACGCCTGGGTGAAAACAGTACAATTCCCGCAGCTTTCCCACACCCCTCTCAAATGGAGCAGCGAGGAATCGGCCTGGACCAGAACTTGGATCCTATGCATTGTCACTAGAATGCTGCAGGTCCCCACAGTGCTTCTATGTCCTGCTGGCCTGGTCACTGAGGGCTAGACATGGAGCCCCAGGACATGCTCTGTGCTGTCATAAGACTGGCAGTTCTGCAGTCCTTCCTTGCTTCTGCCTAACAGCCTGAATAGTGATCTGATTTCGGATTGTTTTCCAAGATGACCCCTTCTCTTTCTTGGCAATTTTGTCACTTCAGTCCTACGTGTGACTGTGGATGTTCCAGGATAGCAGCACCCAGCACCCCACAGGCTTATTGCATAAATCATATACTCAGCACAGAAGTGATCAGGAGCCTTGGACTCTCTATTATCTCTGTCCATCCATCTGTTGGATTTCTAATGCACTGCCCATGTATTTAGCGGTCTATCATATTTCTAAGGCATTTTGCACTATCTGATGTCTGTCTGCCTGTCTTTGTGGGGTATTTCTAAAAGCCTCTAACACCGTGTGTCTAGCTGTCCCCGTACTGTGTCTCTACTATAGCACCGTCTGTCTATCAGTCTTTGGTGTTTCTAGAGCACTTATCACTGCAACTTCTAGGTGATCTATCATACGTCACATGATTACCTTTTACATCCAGTAACCAGTAATTCGCAATAGATTCCCCATTTCTCAAGGGAACTTTAACAGCCCAGCGGGTGACAAGTTGCCAGGGTGAAGTTCAGTGAAGTGTGATAAAACTAAACAAGCCTCTGCCCCAGAGCGAGGCACGCTTTACTCTCCCCCTCCCGCTTCACACGTCCCTAACCTGCAAAGTGCAAAGACACCAATAAAGCGAGAGTACAGTGGGTGTGCTTGTGTGAACGCCCCCCCGCACTGAACGGACAGCTGCTAACCTGCACCCCCACCCCAGTTGGGAGAGAGAGCGAGCTGTGGCAAAGCGGGTTTTGCTTATAGAGAGGCCACCTAGTAAGTAAAGGGCTACTGGCTACAAACTGCCATATAATTCTGTCAGCACCTGCTTTATGGGCCCGAAATGGGGCAAAGTGAAAGGTTTCCTTTTCTTTACGACTCACGCCCAGTCCCCGTTAATGAAACAGCAGGTCCTCCCCCCTTCCCTTCTCCTGGCTTCCTTCTAGCACTGCTGAGCCCAGCGTTTGATCAAGGCCTGATTTCCCTCCCTTTCTTAGTGCAGGAAATCACTGGCTGGTTCGCTGAGAACAATGTATTCTGTGCACTTCCCTGGTTTTCGTCGCTTAATTGGAGTGATGCCTTGAGGTCCCCTGGCACGGAGCGGAAGGCCGGTGGTGGCAGGCAGCCAAGGTAATTATGGTTGAATGGTCCTCTCAGAGTCCCTGAAGAGTCTTTACGAATCATTGGGTAACGGCTATAGTTCAAGAGAGCGCAGTCTTTGGGGAGCTTGTATAATTACTGAGATTTGAGCCCTCTCTGGCAGCACTTCCCTCGTTCCCCTTATCCCCACCCCTGCCACCCTCTTTCTCCCACCTCCTCTCGGACGCTGTTTAGCCACATCGTTGATGGGAAGGGCCAGCGTGTACTATGTAATAACAAGCCCGCATTTGAACTCTTACTTGTAAGGGCAAAAAGGAATAACTGACCCACAAGGTGCTACTTATTTTCTAGATTGTCTCGGTCTTCCATTTTAAACACGTGGAGGGGTGGCTCTGCAGATGGCACCCCGTTCTGGGGAAACCCAAGCGAGGGCAGAGAGCCTGGTGAGTGGTTCAGAACAGGCACGTGTGCCCATTTGGTCTACAGGGCAGCTCCAGCAGTGGAAAAGCTGAGGGCATGGACCATGAAACTAGCAACAGGGCAGATGAAGGGGAACGGCTTCAGTAACCAATAGACAGAAAGCAATGTTACAATATCCAATTATATTTAACACATGATATGACATTACTGGAAGTTCCTAGATGGCACTATAAATTTGCCTTAACTGACTGTACAGGTAGTTAGCTCTTGGAGAAATACTCAGCGTTGGGTGTGGTGCAATTCTTTTTAGAGTTGGAGCATAACATTAGTAAATTTTATTCCTTGACTGAATGTCTGACTGTTTCCTAGGTGCTGCCTACAGATTACAGCCACATAACCAAACAAAACATTACATCTATCTATGATACTTACCTGTCCCTCATTACCATGGTATTTAAGCTTCTCCCAATCTTTAATATATTTATCCTTGCTATAATCCGGGGAGGTAGAAAAGTACTGGGAACAGAGGGACAGAGAGGCTAAGTGATTTGCCCAAGGTAAAATCCAGGAAAGCTGTGGAATAACTTCGGGTTTCTGGAATTATAGGCGGGTGCCCTAACCACTGAACCATCCTTCCTCATGGCATCAAAACAGTATCTGACAAATTAGAAGCATAAGTTTTAATCAGTTGACAGCAGTATTCATGTGGGAAAGATCCCCTCAGGATTCTTCACCAGGAACATCAAAAGAAGAGCATGGCCCCCTGAGAACCCATACTAATTCTTACGCTGTGAATGCTGGGAGGATACCCATCCAGTGCAGACACGTGCAATACAGCTCCTAGCCATGCACCTCGATACTGAATCTCATTGTTTTCGTTTAAGGAGAATATAGCCACGTAGGCCACAATAGCACCAAAGTGCAAAGGCCTCTGGGCACCTTAACAGAAATAAATGCAAATGACATTACAATAAAAGAAAGGAAGTCTCATGCTCCCCGGAGCAGGCAAACTAAACGATCAGCATAACCTTCTCCCCCTGAAAACAGCAGGGCTGCAAGACTTCCAGAAGATTGACTCTTCTGTGCCTTTTCCATCCACCAGAATAGGGCTGTGTGTGGGGAGATGGGGTTGTATGATCTGTATTGCCTGGAGAGAGGTTTTTTTTCTTTCTTACTTTCGAAGCTGAGTATTCGAAGGATAGAGTATTCAAGCTCGGAGCCATGGTGTAGAAACACCTTATGTCTTTGGCAGGATTTTCTCTGCCCATTGACTCCAGAGATATGAATTTTCTATTCCAAATCAGCAATCATGATTACAATGATCCACGTCAGATACCACCAAAGAGGCTGTCAGCGTGGATAACAAAATTGTATTCAAGATCTCTCCTTTCCACACTCCAGGATTCTCCGGATCCAGGTGGCTTTCCACATCCACATTCTCCTCACTTCATATTTCCGTACTTAAGGTCCCATCTTACTGCAGTCACCGACCAGCCACGGATGGCAGGACAGGACTCTTTGGGGGAGTCTGCTGCTAGCAAGCAATGAGTGGTACATTAAGAATTAGCCATGTATCCATTTACCTACCTAATCTGCCTAACCATTTCTCCCATGGTATCTGAGCACTTGAGAAAGGTGAAGGGATGCTGTGTGCACACACAGGAAAAAGGAGAGCTTGTGAGTCCAGTAGATGGGATTGGCTGGGGAACTACCTCTCAAAACATTCCTCGCTCTGCCTCTGCTGCTGTGTGGCCAGTCAATTAACTACTCCATGCCTTAGTTTCTCCATCTGTGCACTAGGACTAATGTTGCCTACCTGCCTCCTAGATGGTTGTGAGGAGTCATTTATTTTTCATACACTACTTTGGGTGCTTTAGATGAAGTATTCAAATATTAATATTGACTCAAAAAGGTCTGATTCACATGCGTTCAAAAGAGGCGTCTTCACCTGGGGTTTCAGGCTGGAATCGCCTGCTGCAGGCAGCTCCTTGTAAGAATTAAAGTAAAAAAGCATTTTTAAAAAAAATGTAATTATAAACTGCCTGGACTGTAGAGTGGCGACCGAAGCAATGGTTGGCTAAGGTGCCAGGTACGAAGTCTCTGGAAATGCCCTGCCTCACCCATTAACAAACCCACATGCTTGAGTGTTGCTTTTCTCTTCCATTTCCAGTTTATGGTGGTAATAACACCCTCAACACAGGGCAATTGCTGTGGTCCCTAAGATCCCTCTGTCCCACCATCAGCTCCACCCAGCTGGTCCCTAGGAAATGCTCTGCACTACAATTATTATTGTTTCATTAAAATCCCGAAAATGCCAATTACACTCCATCATCCCCCCCTACACAGAGCATCTCATGCCACAGCGCATCACCAGAGCCAGTATGAAGAACCGCTTCCCCCGCAGCCCCAGCTTTTCCAATGTGAGGGCCTGGTCACCAGGGCGGTGGCAGGGACAGAGCTCCTGCCAGTTACTTGGTCAGACAGGTGGCACTGGACCTCTCCCACTCCATAGTTCACTGCCGGATCCTCATAGATACATGGGAGGTCAGGGTCATATTCACAGAGGGCCTCTGCAGCCACACTGGCTGTGACTCCCTGCATTCCCAGGGGCCCTATCAGGGACGCCTGTTGTCAATGGCTGCCCTAGCACCCTGTGTGGAGGGAACATTGTGGAAACAATAATACAGGCTCAGGCTATCTTGCCATTTGCTGGAACTCTCTATGCGGTCTGAGTGCATTCCTCCCAGCCCCATCCTGGGGCTGCCCCCTGCTTCCCCTTCCTACTCAGTACACATCCTCCCCATGTGGACATTAGGCCATTCTCTGCAAGGTCCCAAAGGGCGGGGCTGGGGGATAGTGCGGCAGAGATGGCTAATGTCCTTGTCAAATGGATGGGGGAGATGACCTCTATCTGTTGATATGGAGGCAGTGAGGGAGGTGATCTCACCCAACACCGTGAAGCATCTCCAGACAGTGTGTCTTTAGGGCCTCTGGTAGGTACCACATTGATTTCAGAGGTGAATTTGGCCTGGGGGTTCTTATAAACAAAGCATTTTCTATTGCAATGATGAACATAAGTTAGGTCATTATGATACTTGGCTTCCTTCTTAATTTGCATATATAAATTAATTCACATCTCGTGAAATCCTCACTTGTCTTCCCACTCTCTGCATAGGTGGCATCTCCCCTTAACTCTTTCGCTGCCATGCAATAATCCATGCAGCAAACACTGACTAGGGGGTTTGATGGTTGATAATTATTAATACTGCAGATTGGAAGGGGCTGCTGTAATAGGGCGTAAGTAGCTCCTATGTGTTTCTGTCTCCTCAGACTTGATCAAAGCTACAAATGTCACCTGCGGTCTTAACCAGTAGCAAATCTGTGCTGGATTGTGTACAGAACGGCTGTCTTGTACTAGGAAATGTTTGCTGCTACTGTGTGAGCGCTACACAGGCTCTTGTTTAGATTTACATTTCAGAAGGAACAGGCCTGCCAAGTTTAATGTTGCACATCTCATCTGCTTAGTGTATTTGCATACAGTTCACAGCAAGACAACATTCCAGCTCTGGGCTTTTTGGTTATTTTGTTTCTGTTGGGTTTTTTTCAGATGTTCTGTGCCCATGCCGTTCCATTCCCTAATTCCACTTCTCTGGCAGATGACACGGGCTCTTATTCAGTCAAACCCTTTAGAGCTGTTCTTTAACGTCCATTGGTTTCAGGCGGATGTTGGCTTTTTGGGACAGTGTGGAGACCAAACGCAGAGAGAAAATAGCCCCCCACTGCTGTGTACTGTCGCCGCAGGAGGGGTAGGATACCTGCAGGGATTTTCAGCTTGCTGGGAGAGGTTTTCAACAGCAGGTGATAGATGCGACAGTGAAACCTGACACGCTTTCGACCCATTTATCAAAGTGCCTGCAGGTCCCATTTCAAGGCTGACAAAACAATAACAAATGCTGAGCAATGAAAACCCATGTGTGCCATGATTGGAAAGTTTGTTTTAGTTAAAAATAAGCAACATGCAAGCTTAGTGATGTATCTTTCCTTGTCCTGCTGCTTCCCCTTTGAGCAAGAATTCGGGAGAGAAACGAGACATTCTAATATCCAGGAAAGAGTCCCTTCCTTCTCCCCCACCAGGATTTTAGAACAACCAGGGTAGAAGCAAATGCTGGATGAACCGTTCCAAGAGTTACAGCCAAGTTTTGCATACAAACCAAGAGTAGATATGATTTTTTGGAGGTGTGAGGGAGACTTTTTTGGATGATTTTGCCTTTGTACTATCCCCATTGAGCTGGGCCATAAAGCAGAACAATCCCACCCACTTAACCCTGTCTAGCACCTTCCCCAAGTGCAGCAAAAATGTTATGCAGCGATTTCCTTTGGCATTAAAGCTGAAGGCGGGAGCGCCACCCAGAATTAACAGCACTGCAGCAGAATGGATATTAGCCTCTTACAGAGGGATAGGAAAGGGAATTGAGTGCAAAAGATCAGACACTGAGATTCTCATTAACTTTTGCTAACACCTGAATGACTGACAGACACTTGCCTTTTCAGATTATATTCTGCACATTTCCAGCCTCTGACCTTGGGTGCTCTTCAGCCCCTGTTTACTT